ATGGCTATTTCCCCAAGTTGGTTTTATTCTCATTGTTAAAGAAAGGAGCCATAGAGCTGAGTTTATAATTGAGATTTTTTTTATTTTGGGTTTTTTTTTTAAGAAATGTATTTTAACCTCACGCTGACTTAGCACAGTCTGATCTGGTATTTGGTCAATTTGGGTGTGGGAAAAAGCGTTACAAATAATCATTGCTGGAGTCACCCTGCGCATGCCAAAATAAAAGAAGTTGTCATCCAGAAAGGAACTTTGCACAACAAAGTGTTAAGTGAAATACTACCAGGCAAAATAAGGTAATGCTCTTTTGCTGTCTAGCACCACATAAGATGCTAACTGAAAGAGTAAATAAAAACACTTAACATGCATTTAGCTTTCATAATTTACCTTCTGCAAGGTTGATTTAGAGTATGCAGAATGTGCCACATTATTTAGGCTGTAAAAAGGCGCTGCTTTACACTACCTGCCATGTACAATTATAATAATCTGTCAGACAAATATAATTACAGAGTGTGATGTCTGTTTGAGTGTGAAGGCTTTGATTGTGTGGTATTGTCTGCTCTACACTGTGGCACAGCATAAACAATTGTACTCTGTGGTAACTCTCAGCCAGGACTAATGCTCCGCATCAGGAACGCCCCATCACACAGCACAGAGGGTTGGTTTGGGTTTGAGATTGTTGGCTTTGTTTGTTTGTTTTTTTCCCCCAGGGATTTTTTGAGGGCAAACTTGACCACAATAAGCCTTCTGCAATACAATGTGGTGGGTCTCCAAGATATTGTTAATAAATCATCAAAGAGAATGGGAATGGGAGACTAGGGCAGGATATGGTCAATTAACCAGTACCAACCATTTTAATGATGAAAGTAGGTTGAGAAAGGAATGCATGGATTGCTTTAATGATTAAAAAAATAATTAGGTGACATTCCATGGGTTTAAAAGATAAAGTTGTTATTTTATAGAGTAAGTTGTGATTGTAATTTGTTATTAGACTCTCACACCAGCTGACAAAATAGAAAAGGTAACCATTATTAGAGCCTTTCATAATGGTATTTAGTTAAAGAAATTGAAGGTATGTTGGATTTTAAATTAGTCACTGGTCTCCTTGCCATACCATCTATACTAGGTTGGATCAGGCTATGTTTAGTTTATTTTTCAAGTGATGATCTCGACACTGTGACCTTCATACCCAGAGATGTTGCTTAGGGCTACTCTACGGGGGACACCTTTTGCTCTTTAAGATGAGACTTGCCTAGATGAGATTTAAGAGGTATTCACTTACCAAATTCTGCTCTGTTATAAATCATGCAGTGGAAAAGTTTAATATTGTAATTCATAAGACTGCACCTAAATAAATGGTCAGCCCAAAGGAACAATCTAGATTTGGCATCTTGTTTTCTTTTAAATTATAAGTATATAACATTATGATAATATCTGAACCAGCTCAGAAAGAAAACTTTGTAGTAACAACACGAGTTTCTTTCGTCTTTGGAAGAACATTAATGTTCTATCCCTTTTAGCCATATAGGAAGAGAATTCCAGAGATTAGTCTTTATACTGATGATACCTTTATGCTATAGATGTGCAAGAATTTTCTGGATGAATCTACCATTGAGAAGGAATGTTATTTTCATAGTTTTCCAATGTTTGAGCCTTCCAATGTAGGTTCCAAGGAAGATAACAAATCTATCATAAAATAATCACAGAATCACGGAATCTTTGCATTGGAAAGACTTCTGCCCAAGTAGAAATGATTACTTCATCGCTTGGATCCCACTGTACCCTATATAGCATTCTCTCATGGTTATTGCAGTGATAATCTGCCTGCCTCTGCTGGTCTACAATTTCCTAAGACCAGAGATTATACTTTACTCCTTTTTGACTCCCTAAAGTTTAACATAGTGCCTAGAGTAGCATGAATAGCTGAGTTGATAGATGGATATATGAAAGAAAAAAATACTGTAATGTAATAGCAAGTATTTGTTGGCGTCTCTCCAACGTCCATTTCTTCCCTTCCTTTCCAACAGTCCCGATTTCTGTTTGAAGATTCAAGTGGTTCCAGAGAAGCTCTTTTCCTCTCCAAGTCCAGGAGTGGAATATGTAGTATAGGTTAAACCAATCAGCACTTTCCATCCAACTAACAAGTTTTTGGCTCTGCCTTGAACACATGACCTAACTAAAGATATCCATTCAGAATGAATTTCAGTATTATTTCTGGGAAGGAAGAGACAAAGATGCCTTTTGCTGGGTGTAAATATGGAAACGTGCAGTCCTGGAGCTGATGGTAGCCATCTCAGACCATTAGGAGAACAAGTTTTAGGATGAAGCCAATATTAAAGATATAGCAGAGACAGAAAGAAACTGGAAGCCTTACTTGAACCCAATGTTATATCTGGACTTTTCAGTTACAAAAAAAGAAACAAGAAGGAAAGAAAATTCCCTTATTTTTCATGTCGGCATGGGTCAGATTTTCTATTTTTTGCAACACAAAGCATCCTGATACAATTGTAAATATCACTATTGAACAGATGTGATTGAACAAACAGGATATACTTCAGCAGTATTGGCAAGTCCTAATGCAAGCCATTCCACAAACACACCACAAACCAAAAGTGACAAACACCCTAATTTCCATTTCCCACTAAAAGGAACTAGGGCTTCCTAAAGAAATGGCTGACTCCAGGTCTTGTATAGGAAATGTACAAGTTGATCCTGGGACATCTAGGTATGCCAGAAGGCAAGAAAGTTCTCAAAATTTACTATGTCAAAGAACTAAGCAGCCAGTTTGAAAAGTCTCCCACTAACCAAAGATGGGACAACTTGAGCAACAAAAAAATAATGATAAGTACTATGGATTCAAACTAATCGAGTATGTTAAATTCCATGCATTCATAATGGTACTCAAGGAAACAAACCTCATTGATCTTAGAGAATATTAGGAGAAAAACAATCAAGCGTTTAATTTGTCTTTCTTGTATGAACTGTGCTTTGGGAAGAAATAATAGCTGTTAAGGAAAAGTTTCTCTCTATAGACATATTCCAGCAAAGAAATGAAGAAAACCCCATGTTACAAGCCCTTGATGAAATAATGGATCTAGGCAATAAACATCTGTGGCTCTAACATCACAAAACTTAGACACAAGACAGTATGTACCTCTTGATGGAAGTACACCATACCATCTATGAAGTATTCTAGCCAAATTATCAAACCTGAATCAGATGAAGTCTCTTAATCTAACTACTATTTCATTGGAAATAAAAAAGAGATGCAGTCAACAAAATCCAAAATGTGGGAAGCTCTGTAGAGAAAATGAACCAGTTTTTGTAAACAAATCACAAGAAAAAGAAATAGAAGGATAACTTATAGATTAAAAGATTGTTAAGAGACATAACCAAATGTAATGTACAGGCTTTGTTGGCATTCCGATTTGAACAAACCAACTATAAAAAAATATGAGAGAATCACAGAAAGTTAGATGCTCACTGGATATTTGATGATAGTAAGGAATTATTATTAATTTTTATATGTGTGATATGGTACCATTGTTATGATTTTTGGAAGATTCCTTATCTTTTATAGGTTCATACAAAAGTAGTTACAGATGCAAAGACATGATGTCTTTAATACAGCAGTAATGGGGGAGGGGGGAAGTAAAGGTGAAACAAGATTAACTATGAGTTAATTGTTGAAGCTGAGTGATGGGTATATGAAGGTTCATTATACTATTCTTTCCATTCTTGGGTAATATTTAAGATTTTCCACAATAAAAAAATTCTTAAGTACATCATTCTGTCATCAGTCCAAATCGTAAACACCTGCCAGCCTGCTTTGCTTTCACATAAACGGACTCTCATCCTTCAATTGTGTTCTAATTTCTCCACATTCTAATTCACCCATATATCTGGCTGCAGTCATCAATATCTGCATGCCTTCTTCCCGAACAATGGACATTATCCCACTATGCAACTCATCCCCATGGAGGTATCATAGCAAGTCCATCACTCTCCCAGCGCACATATAGACATCAATTTTCATATACATAGTTTTCGTCTATTCATTCCCTTACGCTTCTGTTCTACTTCGACAGCACTCTTCATTCCAATTCCCTAAACCCTCTTTAGAAAGGAATCACACCCCCTAACTCAGGCAGACAGACATATGGCCAGTGCAAGGTTGAAGAGTTCCAACATCTACCTTTCTGTGGGCCTCTATACATAATCTGGCTCAGTCTAAACCTCTTAAATGAAATACTCTCCTGGAAATAAAACCAGCTTCTGTGTTCTTCTATTTTATTTCAAACTCAATACAAAGCAATGGTCCCCAAAGAAAAGTTATGCTGGAGTTAGGTTCACACAATTTCCCTGAAATGTAATACGAGAGTTAAACACAGATGATATGACTGGTTAATAAATGTCACCATTGAGTGGCTTTGTTCACCTAATAATATCATTCAGATCATTATAAACAAATTGAAGGGGTTCTTATGTGAAACAAACACGGCAGGACTTATTCCTGCGTAACACAAGACCCAGGCAGGGCAGCCAATCCTAACGGCCTGTGAGAAGGGGCAAGGCCGGCGTGCAGCTTTGTGGCATCCCGGGAGGATTTTATTTCCAAATATAAAATTCATGCCATGCTCACAGGCAGAACTTTAGAATAGTTATAATGATCTAATGGCAGCATTACTATGGAAGGCTGCTACTAATACTTTGAACTACTGCCGTTCTATACAGATCCAGGGATATGATTTCAAAGCTCATGTGGAATGAAGACTGCCCCAGCTGAAAGCAATCCGCCTGAGTAAAACAGAGAGGAAAGAAAAGAACAGGGCAGAATGCAACTGAAGCCCACAATTTGGGATTTCTAGGATGGGGGAGTCGAAGTGGGTTCTTTGATTGTGGGATTTCTTTTATTATTGTTGTAGTTTGGGGAGGGAGTGGCAAGGAAAGAGAAAATGTCTCTAAATTAGAAGGCATTGCCTGCCTCTGACTTTTTGAATTACCTCTAACTTAGAGATTATAATGTGTTTATTTTCCTCTTCCGAGAAGAGAGGGGTAGTGATTGCCTCCATCACTCTCTCCCTCTGCTCCCTCTGCTGTCGAGGGGCCAAGAGCTCATTGAGGTCAGTTCCACTGTGCTCAGTCTCGCTTCAACACTGATGGCGAAAAGAAAAGAAATAACACATTAACTGCAAAAGAGTTGGGAACCCCTATAAGTCCAACCTAATAAACATCCAAGACTTGTTGGGCCTGTCACTTGACGTTTAGACAGAAATGGCTATTGTTGTATTTCTAGAAATCAAAGGAAACATCAGATCCTTTGCAAACAAGAAAACTGCATAACATTTCAAATACCAGTTAAGTGCCTGTATTTATAGGTCGTGTTCCCTATTTCGAAGCTAACCCTGCAATTCCTTTGGAAAGAGGTTCTGACAGAGCTAACAGGTCTGTAAAAAAATTTTTTAAATATATATATATCATTTTTAAATGATGCAGAAATTTCCTTTCATTCTTTCAATAATTTGCAGTTGGAATTCATAATTTTAGCAGTATTTCTCACATGTAATGCCAAATTTGGTAACACCTATTTAAAGTGCATTGTAACATGTGTTTAAGATACATTGAGCTCTTTGGAGAAAAGGTGCTATAGAAATCTAATAAATAATAAGTAGATGATTGACAAAGGATAATATTAGGAGCTCATTTTTGAAACTTTATAAAAATACATGCACTTGAGTCAATTCTCAGCTAGACAATCTCTTTGGCAGGTAATGTGTAGGGATCCCACATGCCCCAGATTTTAAGGTTCTAGCATATGGGAAGAAAAAGGTCGTGGCCTACAGAAGCTCATTCTGAGAATGGAATAGTTCTCAACAAGAATCCAAGCAGGAATCCCAATTTTGGCCTTGACAATGCATTCACTTATGCTATTTGGAATGTGAAAGAAATTTGAAATATATAAAAAGTAGAGTTATAAAGGGCAGCTGGATTCAACCACATGGCCAAATTTGAATCAGCAAACTGACATTCTCTGAGATAACACACATTATGTCCTTTAAAATTAAGAAAGGAAAACAGGAGCCAAGTATCATTACTCATTTGTTATTTTGTGAGCTGGTTAAACTCAAGAATGCATAATTTTCTGGTTATAATGCAAACTAAGGAAGGACGAGCGCCAAATATAAACAATCTCCACCTTCTGGAGTAAAATATATAGCTATCCAGAGCTTTGATATGATTATGAAAAGAGACCAGACGCTTTGATTCTTGGCTGCTACAGGACCTGCCTTGGCAACCTATAGGTTGATCAGCAGAGAGGTAAAGATAAGTCTAAGAGACTTAAAAGATGGAAATAAAATGCTTTTTTTTTTCAATTTTAAATAAGCAGAAGAAGGGACAAGCTTATCTTAAGCAAAGTAAGCTGATAAGGGTGCAGAAAAAGCTTTCACCAGAAATCAGTGTACTATCATTTAAGCTAAAGCATGACATTTGAACCTTCATGTAGAAACATGAGTTTCTAACGCATTAGGCTTTGGGGTTATATATTAGACAAGTTCTTACGTTCCTTTTTTATTTTTCTTTGGTGATTTTGTTGCCCACTCGTTGGTAATATGTATCCCCAATCTACACACACTGCATTTATAGCAATTGATTAATATATGTATTTTGCAGAGATGTTTTATGTAAACCGATTAAATACCATCCTTAACACATGACTTCCAAATTTGGAACAAATATAGAAGTCTTGTTTATGCTAATGTCATTTGTTATTTTGAAGTTGCCCTGATCATTTAATTTCCCTGTTTGCTGGAGTTGGAAACATTTTACATACTACCACAACATGGATGACTTGATTTTGCAATATCTTATTTTCTTATTCTAAAAGTGTAATATAATGTATATTCCTTCCTAAAGAGAGAGAGTCGGCCATCTTGAGACCATGAGGAAACAAGTTTAAGAACCAAGCCAATATAAAGGATGGGGAAGCAGAGAGAAGGAAAGAAGCCGGGTCATCATTGACATTGTTGTGCTCTGAACCAACTCAAGAATTGTCCCCTACCCGTGGGCCTCCTCTTATATGACATCAGTAAACCTTTTTATTATGGCAGTTACTCTTTACTTAGGTATTCTACTTTTTGCAGTAGAAAGCATCAGAACTGATACAATAGGATTTGGGGTTTCAAAACCCTAATCCCTAAAAGATTCTCAGCATAAAGTTTATACCAACAGATTTGGAAGCAAAGATCAAAGCCAGTTTGATCTAAAAACTGATTCCTTGGGGACAAAGACAGAGAAGAGTAAGAAACTTAAGACATCAGTGTTTTCTGAGAAGAGGGCCTACTCCCTGCTTAACTCCTATCCTAATCTTAGAGGGGAGAGGGAACAAGAGAAAGTCCAGTTACATGTTTCTTGAGAGTAGATAGAAGTAGTCGAGAGAAAGCCAAGCCAGAGTGCCTTGTGGTCTGGATCAGGAGGGTATAGCCATTTGAATGTACAGTAGATGGAGACCAGACAGGAATGGGGAGCCTCAGGGATGCAGCCTGAGCAACTCGGGACCAGACACATCGCCCACCCGACCCCCGCCAGCATCAGTACTTCATAACTTGCCTGGAATCTACACACAGCCCTCTGGGGGTGTGGGGGTGGAGGGTAATAAACCTGATTGACTAAATTTACTTTCTCATAATATGAGAGCTAAAAATAGAAATTTTAGAAAAATAAGGATGTCCAGACTTGAGATTATGTTTTGACGTTTATACTCACTACTTAATTAATTAGTTAATTGCTGGTAGTAACGATATAATACCAGTTCCTAGTAAAGAAGCTCACAGTCTAACAGAGAAGGCAGGCAAGCAAATAGTTGAGTATGATAAGTGAAGTCTTTGATAGATAAATATTCAAGATGACCTGATGGCACAGAGTGGGAGTAGGGCTGGGGAGTACAGCTCCAACTGAGTTTTGAAGGACAGAAAACAGTTAACCACAGATGGTGTGGAGAAATGGTGAGTTAGGTTTGGGTTGTTGCATCTGAGGGATGACTTTTGTTTAAGATCAAGGAAATTTGAACATGTCTATATGTCATGGGGAACAAGGCAATAGAGAAGTGGAGGGTGAGGAGAATGGCTACAAATGATGGCCTGAGAGCCCTGAGGAGGCAGAAAGCAAAGGAACACGGATCGTGGGCCCAGAGCTTGCCCTTGGCCAGGAATAAGGATGTTGAAAAGGAGACAAAGACAAGAGTAATGCAAATACATATGCATATACATATACACATGGGGAGGGCTGAGTGAAGTTAAGAAAGTTCATGCTTGATGGCCTCTATTTTATATGAGAAATAGAAGTTAATGATCACTTTTTGAGGGTAAGAGAGGCAGACCAAAGTCTTAATGAGGGGAGTTACATAGCCAGATTTGTATTTTTTTAAAAACTCTGTCTGGTAGAGATTCAAGGAATGGATTAAAGAGAGAAGATCAGAAAAGACTAGAAGCTGAGTGACCCCTTAAGACATTATGGGAGTCATTCAAGGAAAGAATCTTGAAATCCTGAATTTCACAGTGACAGTAGAAGGGAATAAAAGGAATCGTTTCCATAGATATTTATAAGCCAAATCATTCTAAGTGCTTAGATATAAGCAATGAGGGAGAAAGAGGAGAGGATGATACCCAGGACTGAACGTTTGGCTTATTAGAAACCTCAACAGGAAGAAGGAGATGTTTATGGGAGAAGATAATGAGCTTAACTTTGAATGCATTGAAATATAGATACAGATATTAACCAGGTAATGAATTTAGACAAAAATTGATGTAGATATAGAAGGTAATTGGATTTGTGGATCTGAAGTTCAAGAGAGAAGGTCTGACCTAGAGAAAGAAATGGGGGAGAAATCTGCTTCCATAACAGTGGTGGTTAAGGGCCAGCCTGGTGGCACAGCAGTTAAGTTCACATGCTCTACTTCGGCAGCCCAGGGTTTCCCAGTTCAGGTCCTGGGTGCGGACCTACACTGCTTATCAACCCATACTGTGGCAGGCGTCCCACATATAAAGTGGAGGAAGATGGGCACAGATGTTAGCTCAGGGCCAATCTTCCTCAGAAAAAAAAAAAAAGAAAAGAGGAAGATTGGCGGCAGATGTTATCTCAGGGATAATCTTCCTCAAAAAAAGATAATAATAATGGTGGTTAAAACAATGGGCATAAATGAGATCAAGTTGTATGAGTGTGTGAAGAAGACATGTTATGGCCTTTGTTTTTAATCCATCCCTGTAGTTCACCAATTTGATAACCTTCACTGTCTTCAATGATTCCTAAATATCTATCTTACATTCTCACTTTGAGTTAACATTATTTCCTCTCATTTGGCGTTCATAGTAGTCAGGGAAGCCCCAAAAAGCCCACACAGTCCATGGGAACTAAGATACACTATAAACATGTTCTGTTATCATGAATTCATTAGTTATATTGTATAATGAAAGCTTTAAGACTACCAAATGAATGCTTCTTTAGTAACAGAAAGTATGCTAAACTAAGAGAATCCTCTTTTGTCAGCTCTGATGCTAGTTGTAGCATATTGAATAAATTTGTGCAATTTCTTGTTACCAATTTTAATATCCTATTATGAATACAGTACAATGTTTCAGTTTATCCTTTTAAAATCATCTTACATACACAAATGCACATACACATGAAATCACCAAAAATGTCTTTAACTCGTTTTAATGCATATACTACAATGCATAAATGAATATATTTCCATTTTTTTGCTTCAGAAAGCCAAAAGGTCTGTTTTTCCCGTAATATCTCATAAATGACCTTAGTACTGACCCAAATATAACCTACTAATTACCCTCTGTGTGCCTCCCAGGCCCTGATTAGTTGTAGTTAGCTTTTGTGTGAGACTGTGACTCTACTCTGGAAATCTTCTGTATAGCTCGTAATTCCCGGTGGAAAAAAAAATTGCTGTGACCTATACAGTTAGAGAAAAGAAAACACAGCTACACTTTTCCAAAAGCAGAACAAAGCAGTGAAATAACATACCTTTCACCAGGGACTTGGTATTATCTGAAACCCTATAATCCACAGCCCATTCTGTTTCTTCAATAGGTTGGGTGAGTTCAGTGGGCGGGTCGGAGAACTAATCAATTTTGAAACAGCATCTGCAAAAATAGATAATGTTCATCTAAAGGGCAACCTAGTCATAAAGTCCCACAGGGGTGAGTAAATAAACACATGGGCTTTGTGTAAAGGGGTTCCCCAGGATGGAACGGCAATGCAGTATTGGCAATGCGGTATTCCATCAATACCATCAAAAGAATTTATTAAGCACCAACCTTAGGATGAACTATGTGATTTAACTGACATGGTTCCTGAACTCCTAGAGTTTATTATGTAATCCAACTTCCACACCCGTAATGGAACTTAAGAACATAAAACTCATTGGATCCAAAACTTTTTCTCCCAAATTTCTTTTTCTCCAATGTTTTCTATGCTGGTTAAGGAATCTAAGGCAACCAAGAGTCCTCTCTCTTCCTCATCTCCTGTAACCAATGCCTCTTTAAGACTTGTTGGTTCAACCTCCTAATTATGCCTTGAACCATTCATTCCTTTTCCTTCAACTCTATAGCCTTCACCCTATTTGCTAAGACTATTGCAATATCAGTTGCCATGAATCCCCTCCTCCAATCTATCCCCGACACTGCCACTGGAGTGATCTAACATTCGAATTTCAGTATATCACTCATCTGCTCAAAATCCGCAAAAACCTCCCAATCACCTCTCATGTTAAAAATCTCTACTTCTTATTTTTTGCTTCTCCTACTTTTCTTTTAAGCCTCAACTCAATTGTAACCTTTTTGTAAAGGATTCTCAGATTCAGTCAACTATTCATTCTCTCAACTGATATTTATCAAGCACAAACTTCATGTTATGCGTGGTGCTAGCACTGAAAATCGAGTGGCGATATATTCCTGGCCTCACAAAATTTACAGGAAAGACAATGGCAAGAAAGACAATGAAATAACAGTGAAGTGTGATGACTATTGTGAAGAACTAACCTGGGTACAGACAATAAGAAGAAAGAGCTCCAGGGACCCTCAATATTTAAGGTGTGGGCGGAGGAAGAAAGGTTTTCAAAGGACTGACCAATAAGGTGGGAGAGAATGTGTTGCCTTGGAAAGCCAAAGGAGGAAAGTATTTTGAAAAGAAAAGAATGATTTAAAATATCAAATCCTGCCAAGAGGTCAAGTAAATAAGGACTGAAGATTATCGTGGAATTTAGCAGAGGAACTTGAAAGCAGTTTTGGTGGAGTGATAGAAGCAAAAGCCAGCATGGAGTGAGTTGAGGAGGAAGAGGTGAAGAAACGGAGACAGCAAATGTAGAAATTCAGCTGTGATGGAGAGAGAGGATTTGGTAATTAGAAGGAAATTGAGGGTTGAAGGAGACTCCCCCAAAGGTCCCATGCGATTTGTACCTCCGTAATAACAGCAATTATCATCTTATATAATAGTGTCTTCTGTTCCAGCACTAAAAGGCAAGACACATCCTTTCATCTTTATATCTCCAATGCCTAGCAAAGGTTCAGGTACAAATAAGCACTCAATAAATATTGGTCAAAATGCTGAATGACCAAATGAATGATGTGCTCTAATCGAAATTTGAGATTCATTTTTCAATTCCCATCTTCCTTGACTTGTCTCTGCATTCCTGTCAAATGCCCTTCCTGATGTGTAGCCACAGGGGTCCCACAGGCTTTGGGTCCTTGGACACCTGCTCTGATCTACGAGCTCAACTCATAGTTTCAGCAGCTGAATCCTAGATCTGCCCCTCAACTATAATTTTACCTTTCTAGCTGACTTCAGGGTCTGTGACACCTGACTGGTCTGCCAACACCTGGAACTTAGCACATGTACAGTTGCTCTCATCACTATTCTCACCTTTAAGTCAGCCAGTACACTCTTGCACTTCTTTACTAAGACTTTTTACCTGCAGAGATACATGAAGACTGTTCTGAATGTTGTGTCCCAATCCTTGCTTGTTCAGACGTGGTCAATCATGGCTAAATCCAGACACAGACCTTTCCATCTTCAAAAAGGGCAGCCTTCCACTTCCCCCAAGAAATAAGCTATTACTTTATCATACGTTCCATTAACACAGCATACCAGATGTTTACCTGACAAATTACAACTCTGAGTTCCTGACGCCAGTGTTTTACCTGAGGAGCAGACAAGCTTTAGACATGGTTATCTACCATATAATAACCCACTGAGAACAACATTAGATTATTTGTAGTTTTTATTTACTTCTTTCAGTGTTTGAACTGGACTGGTTAAGGTTTAGAGTCATGGGCCAAAACTAAACAATCTTAACATATAGACATCCTACATCATATATTTCTGCAAAAATTGAGAGAGTAGGAATTTTCTCTGGATAGAGCAGTTAAAAATATCCAGTGGGAATATTTATTTCTTATTTGTGTGACATCTTTTTTTATTTTTGAGGAAGATTAGTAGTGAGCTAACATCTGCTGCCAATCCTCCTCTTTTTGCTGAGGAAGACTGGCCCTGAGCTAACATCCGTGCCCATCTTCCTCCATTTTAGGTGGGATGCCTGCCAGAGGATGGCTTGACAAGTGATGCGTAGGTCCGCACCCAGGATCCGACCTGGTGAACTCCAGGTCGCCAAAGAGGAATGTGCGAACTTAACCGCTGCACCACCGGGCCAGCCCCATGTGTGATGCCATTTTTCAATCAGCAAGGTATATGCCCTCTATAGTTGATAACATAAAGAAAGGTGCTCTTTCATATATAGACAATATGATTTTAGTAGGATAATCTAAGGTGGTTTAGAATCTATTATTTTAGCTAAATGTTATCTGAAAGAAGAGTTTTAACTATAGTAATGTAATTATCCTAAAACTGAAAATAGTCTTTTCAAAGTTTTCTTGTTCAGTTACCTTGGTGTATGCATAGTTTGCAGATAGTTCATATTTAGAAGATACCCCAGGAAATAATCGTTGTTCAATGAAGGCTTTATTGATACTTAGTTTAATTTAGGTTCACACATATTAACATTTTTCAGCCTACTCTGACCAATTCCGTTTAGACATAAACTCTCCTTCTGTGCTGGTTAGGTCCTCTGGGACCAAGATAGAGTTTGAAATGCAAGAGACACGCCTGTGAAAGATAAAGGGGAGAGATAGATGGACACAGGTCAAGTTTGAATGTACTATACAAAAGCTGGAAGACATGCCAATTATCCAGATCAAAGAGTTTAGAGAGAGGGAACCAGTGAAGGTTATGCAGGAGTTAAAGCCACCCCTTGGCAGCCAGTGACTTAGGCACAGAGTGGTTGTTCAATTAATACTGGCTCATTTGCAACTGAGTTGACCAACAGCAGAGTTAAACATATGCGAGGTCCCGTGCAGTCTCTTCTGTATCATAAAGCGCTTTCTGAGCACTCTCAGTTTCAAGAAGGCAATCTGAGGCACAGTTCACGGACAGAGCCCGGAGCAGAGCCCCGAGCTCTCACTCTCCAGTCGGTGAGCCTAAGCCAGTGCATTCACTCTCCTCTCCCTCCCCCTGCTCCAAAGCTTGATATGTGTTGAGTATACTCAGTTGTTCTCAACATGTTTTTTCCTTACAGTTCTTTATTAGCAACATTCATTTAGGTTTTGGACTCTTGTCAAATGTAATGTGAATGGAGACCAGATGCCTTTTCTGAACTCAACAGAACAAGAGGAGAGTCACAGAGCCCATCTTGCCACAATCAAAACTAGTGCTTACAACAACACCCACTGTTGGTGACAGGCTGCGTAGAACAGGGCCAGTGCTGATCTAGCAGTATATGCCAGCTCAATGAGTCAGAAAAATGTTTCAGATGTGCCAGGTTGTTCAGAAATCCCCATCAGTTCCTGGGCAGAATAATTGTTGTGTTCCCCAAGAGCAAGGAATCAAGATGAGGAGAAGCACCCTCCCCGGGATGGTGTGTGTCATTCCCGTCCCTTCCTGGCAGCAAAGGATCGCTGCTTTTAAAAGGGTACCACAGACCTGCATGAAGGCCTGCAAAGGCTAGGGTCGCTGGCAGCAGCTCAAAACACAGGGACGGGGGAGAAGCAACTGTGGGAAGGAATTCAAGGCGGACAAAAGGATTAACAGCAAAACGATGAAGGGTGTAGGGGGACGGGTGATTATCGTTTGCTGTGGGTTTAGCAACACTGACATGTTTTTATGAATATTTACAAGAACATTTGGAAGCTGTGTCTTTTGCCCACACAGCCTCCACCCCCAGCCCTCTTGGTAGGAACGGCACCATATTTAATGAGGCCAGGGGTGGGAGAGGGAACCAGGTCCTCTGTGCCTCCAGGTTGCTGTCACCTTGCCTAGTTGCCAAGATGCCCGGGGGCCAATATAAGTGAAGTTCAAATAAGAGAAGCCAGGCCTGGGTTTCTCTGCTTGTAATATGAAGCCTGGTGATTAAAGGGAATGAGAAGAGAAAGAAATGGTACTAAAAAGACATGAAAGGGATGAAGTGAGAGTCTCAGGAGAAAGCTCCATTTTGATGCCAGTGTGTTTGCCCTCTTCACAAGAGTAGAGGGGTTTATCTGCCTCTTTCTCTAAGCTGAATGAATCTTTAACAAAATCACATCAATTCTCAGTGCTTTTGAGCAGAATAACAGTCAGTCTCCTGCCTCCTGCTGTCTGGCCTTAGTCCACTTCCTTCTACCACCACCTCCACCAGAGGAGCCTGCCTTCCTCCTTGATTTCCCAAATTTCTGTCCCCTTCAGCATTTCTTTGATATGTCTTGAGGCAGAAGAGAGCAGTAGGCAAGAGCTCAGGCTCTGAAACTACACTGCCTGCATTCTAATCCAAACTCATCAGTCTGGGAAAGTTGTCCCGCCTAAATCTCAATGTCTTCATCGCTAAAATGGAGCTGATGATAGATAAGGTTTATCCTTGGAGATAAACCACAGAAAGCACTTGGCATGCAGTAAGACCTCAATAAATTCTAGTAGTATTATTATTACAGACCATCCTCAATTTTCCTACAATAATCATCTTGCATATGATCCATGCTTTCATGCATCATGTGTTGATACCCTAAAATGCTGAATTTCAAACATCAGCTGGCTCACAATGACGTCTAGTTAATTTGACCAC